TTCTATTTATAGACCTGTATCAATCTGAAATCTCTAATTATAGACCTGTATCAGTACTTTCTGTATTTTCAAAAATATTTGAACGGGTAATTTATAATAGAATCTATAACCATTTTAATGAAAATAATTTATTTTATACAAAACAGTTTGGTTTTAGGAAAAAACATTCAACTGAACACGCAATAATTGAAATAGTAGACCAAATTACTAAAGGATTTGAAAATAATAGCTTCACTTTAGGATTATTTATTGACCTATCAAAAGCATTTGATACGGTTGACCTAATTCTTTTGGAAAAAATAAAACACTATGGAGTGATAAATAAAACCTATGATTGGTTAAAAAGCTACCTCACTGAGAGAAAACAATAAGTTATTAGTAAGGAATCAGGTCAACTTAATATTTTGTGTGGAGTTTCGCAAGGGTCAATTCTTGGTCCATTGCTTTTCTTGATTTATGTAAATGATTTTAAAAATGCATTAGCTAAGCTTAACTCAATAATGTTTGCTGACGACACAAATCTCTTTCTTTCAAACTGTGACATTAATCAACTGTATTCTGACATGAACTCTGAACTAATGAATGTACATAAATGGTTTAAGGCAAATAAACTTTCACTCAATGTAGATAAAACAAAATATACTTTATTTCATAAAAAATCACAAGATGAAAAACTTCCTTTAAAATTACCTGATTTGATTTTAAATGATGTACTAATTAGTAAAAATGATTCAATAAAATTCTTGGGAACTCTTATTGATGAAAATTTATCATGGCTTCCCCATATTAATTATATTCAATCAAAAATTAGTAAAACAATTGGTCTAATGTACCGTATTTGTCCATATGTAACATCAGAACGTCTGAAATTAGTATATTTTGGCCTAATACATTGTTTCATATACTATGCCAATATCACATGGGCTTGTACTCAACCAATAAAACTTAAAAAAATATTTTCTTAACAAAAACATGCATGCAGACTTATATATAAAAAAAAATAAATGAACATGCAAAACCATTAATGGAAGACATGAAAATGGTGAATATATATGAAATCAACATTTACCAACACCTAATTTTTATGTATAAATGTAACAACAGCTTGATTCCAAAAAACGTTAATGATAAATTTACAATAAATGTAAACAAAAAATATTCTCTTAGAATAATCCAATGGATTACTTATAAATTACCAAGAATTAGTAGTAAGTATTCTGAATATGGAATATCAAACCGTGGACCAAAACTATGGAACACTTTTCAAAAACCAAAAAATTTAAATACTGTAAAATCATTAAATTTCTTTAAGTTTATAATAAAAAATGAAATTTTTAAATTAGATAAATAGTTTTCTTGATTTTTCGAAATGAAAAACGAGTTCCATTATTCTTAGTTTTTTTACTTGTTGATTGGCTCTTATTTTGATACTTAACAGAGTTGCCAATATATATGAATATTGATAAAACTATATGATGTTATTGACTTTCTTGATTTAATGGTAATATTTATGCAAGCTTTAACCTTTTTATTATATTGGAGATACTATTTTTTTTAACTTGTAAAGCTCATCTAGGGGCTCTATGAAAACTTTAGTCATCCGTATCTTCTTTGAGCCCCTGCCTGTTTATTATAAATTTTTTTTGTATGTAAACGTTTCTTTGTAATTTCTTATTATATAAACAGCAAATATATATTAAATAAAAAAAAAAAAAAAAAAAAAAAAAACTGCAAGACGTTTTCTTTTCCAGTAGTCTCTTTGTTTGAAAGAATAGTTGACTTTCGCATACTGGGATTGGAATGGGTTGAAATACTAGAGAAGTTTGATCTAAAGTTATTGATTTCAATTCTGGTTAAGCTTTTTTTGTTATTTTTAATGCACCTACTACATCCCACCAAAAAGCCACTCAGCAAACTTAAATCACACATATTTTAGAGCCGAGGCTGCCCTATCCTTATGCTTAGTAGGAACGTAGACTGGATCAGTTCTGACTTCTATAGCAATAACAGACATATACAGACGTCTTTTCATTTCTTCTAGAACAAGAAGATTAACGGACAAGTTAACTTCAGTTAAATCGTTTACATCTTGTTTAACGACAATATAGCGTGGTCTAAATTTTTTTTTATGCAGCTTCCGTTTGATCTGGCTTCGTTTTTTGTTAAAAAGTGCTTTTGATTCCGCCCCTTATTGCAAAGTCCATAAATTATATTGGCTATATCTTTTCTTTCTTTATTGGAACACCCTTGGTTGAGGTAAAAATTGTGGAAAATAGCTGGACCATTTGTTTCAACTAGCTTGCACGCTGTGGTGACTCCAATTATGTTGAGATCAGTGTTACAGCTCCTTGCGTAACTTACAGTTTTTCTAGAAACGTAATCAAAACTCTTGGGAAAAAATATTGGATTAAGCTACTTTACATTAATTTAATAGAATGCAAACTGTTCTATCTCAGAGTCAGTATAAGGACGAGTTATGTTATACAATTTTTTAATTTTTTTTTATTTCAGCATGAAAGCTCAAGTGTTTTCATGTGTTTTAAACTTTACAAAAAGAAGACAGCGCAGTATAATACAATATACGCAGTATAAAACAATATATATACGCAGTATAATATATATATATATACGTAATATATATATATATATATATATATATATATATATATATATATATATATATATATATATATATATATATATATATATATATATACGCAGTATAATACAGTATATATATATATATATATATATATATATATATAATATATATATATATATACGCAGTATAATATAGTATATATATATATATATATATATATATATATATATATATATATATATATATATATATTATATATATTTATATATATATATATATATATATATATATATATATATATATATATATATATATATATATATATATATATATTCGATTAAAAAATATTGGATTAAGCTACTTTACATTAATTTAATAGAATGCAAACTGTTCTATCTCAGAGTCAGTATAAGGACGAGTTATGTTATACAATTTTTTAATTTTTTTTTATTTCAGCATGAAAGCTCAAGTGTTTTCATGTGTTTTAAACTTTACAAAAAGAAGACAGCGCAGTATAATACAATATACGCAGTATAATACAATATATATACGCAGTATAATATATATATATATATACGTAATATATATATATATATATATATATATATATATATATATATATATATATATATATATATATATATATATATATATATATATATATATATATATACGCAGTATAATACAGTATATATATATATATATATATATATATATATACGCAGTATAATATAGTATATATATATATATATATATATATATATATATATATATATATATATATATATATATTATATATATTTATATATATATATATATATATATATATATATATATATATATATATATATATATATATATATATATATATATATATATATATATATATATATATATATATTCGATACATAAGTTATTAGTATTACGTATCGAGTTCTCTACATAATACTAATGGTTCTACTAATTTTTGATTGCATATATTTTATGTGTGGGAGCCATGATAAATGATCATCCACAATAACTCCTAAAAACTTTATAGTACCTTTTTTTTTAATTTATTTATAATTTATAATAAGTTTTGGCAGTTTTAGAGGAAGGTTTTCTTTTTGTGTTTTTTTATGAAACAAGGTATATTGTGTGTTTTCAACATTAAGAGAAAGTTTATTTGACCTGAACCAATCATTTACTTTTTTTAATTCAATGTTTATGTCAGCATAAAGTTGAATAGTATTGCAGTTAGATAAAAATAGATTTGTATAGTCTGCAAACATTTAGTTTTAATGCATTTTGTTAAAATCATTAACATAAAATAAAAATTAGAGCGGTCCTAGGATCGATCCTTCAGGATCTCCACACTGAATATTCAGCATTCCAGATTTCTTGTTTTGAACATATTGTTTTCTATTAGATAGATAACTTTTTATCCAATGATATAATTTATTGCATACTCCGTACCATTTTAGTTTTTCTAATAGAATAGAGTGATCAGCGGTGTCGAATGCCTTAGATAAATCTATGAATACTCCGAGAGTAAACTTTTCAAAAACGATGAGTTATTTAATCATTTTCAAAACGATTAGTTATTTGGCGGACTAATTCAAGAATGGCATGCTCCGTTGAGTGTTTTTTTTGAAATTCGAATTATTTTGGATTAAAAAATTTATTTTTTGTAAAATAATCAAATATTTTATTATAAACTACACCTTCGAAGATTTTTTGAGAAAACAGAAAGTACCGATATGGGTCTATATTTTGATACGTCGGCGCGATCATTATTTTTATAAATTGGGTATACTCTCCCAAGTTTGAGTATATCAGGAAATACTCCTTGATCTAAAGATAGGTGTACTATGTGGAACAAAGGTTTTGTAATGGTTTTTTTATATATATAAGGATATTACTAGGAATTTCATCAAACCCTAAAGATTTTTTTTTTTAAGAAAAATAAGCTGCGTCAATTTCAAGAAAAGTTAAGTCTATCACTGTTATACATTGTTTCATCTGTTTATTTTTTTAAATATGTCTAAATGATGTAGAAGTTGGTATAATTTTGTTTGCGAGACTAATCCCAACATTTGTAAAGTATTTATTAAACTCGTTAGATATTTTATAAGTACTCGTTATATATATATATATATATATATATATATATATATATATATATATATATATATATATATATATATATATATATATATATATATATATATATATATATATATTTCTTTGTTGGAATAAATCTTAAGAATAAAAAATGGTCGGCTGTTGCTATAACCCTAAAAACTCTTTAATAAATAAATTTTTTTTAAATATTGAAAAAAAATTTAAACATCTTTTTAAGAAAATATGAACATTTTATTATAATGGAGACTTCAACGCCAAAATAAAAAAACAAGTATATGGAAGATTTTTGTTGTATTTACAAGATAAAATCGCTTATAAATAAATACACTTGTTATAAAAATCTAATCAATCCAAAAACAATTGACTTTATTCTAACTAATAACTCTTCAAGTTTCTGCCACTCCACTGTAATAGGTATACGAATATCTGATTTCCATTTAATATTAGCGCTAATGGAATGTAATTATCCAAAACAACCCAGAAAGATAGTCACTTACCGAAACTATAAAAAAGTTAGATAAAAAATTTTGATGTCACCTATTTAAAGAAATAAAGGAAAAAAACCTCCTAAGCAATTATTTTAATACTTTTATAAGCATTATATTAATGATATTGAATGAACACACGTCTCATAAAAACACCTTTTATAAGTCTATATATATAAATATATATAGACTAAGAAAATTTGCTGTAATAGTCCAGTTCTATCAACACAAAACACATTAACAATAGCGCATAGCATAATATTTGAAGCACACATTACTATGTCTCTCCAAAATAATTAAAAAAGAAAAGATTATATAAAGGCTAGACAACTTAACGTAGTAGACAACGTAATAACGTATAACACCACAACTTAATTAGATATTTTATCAACTAAAATACTTGAAAAAGATTTTATTTATTACAATTTGAACAATTATATCATAAAATAGCAAGCAGCTCATAAAATATTTTATATACATGGTCATTATCAATTGTGGTATTAATAAAACTTATATAATTACTTTTTTTTAACTAAAAAGTAATTATATAAGTTTTATTGATGCTCCGTGTAATAATTCTCTTTTAACTCTCAACTAAAAGTAAACAAAATTATTTTTACCTTTATTATGTAAAGTTCCAGCTTCTCTTTAACTGTCGACTAATGATTAATAGAGTAAATTTCATATCATTAAATTTACAAAATTAAAACCATGTTTCAACAGTAAGCAAACTAATCAAGTGATAACAAAGGCAACTAAAAAAAAAATAACATAATTATTTGAATTTATAAAAAAATTTAAAATCATTTAAATTTAAAACTATTTGATTTAAATTGTTTTAAAGTGTTTAAAATAAAATCAAACAAACACACATTAACATGGCTTGACACTGAATTCTAGCAAGAAAGTTTTCTGCTCGCTGAGCAGCATTTCTTATATTTCAACAACTTTTTTTTTTATATTTATTTTAGGTGCTCCAAGAAGTCCTTAAGGTCTTATCACAGAGCACCGCGGATAAGCATTTAATAGGAAGTTCACGCCTCCTTATTGATGTAAATAAATTTTTTTGATAAACAACTTTTATCAAAAATAAAAATTTATTTAAAATTTATTTAAAAATAAATTTTAAATAAATTTTTATTTTTGATAAAAGTTGTTTATCAAAAATAAAAATAAAAATTTAATTACATCAATAAATTGTAACTTAACAAAGAATCTAGACATCAATACATAATCTAAAAGTGTAAAAAATATATAAAATAAGTTACATGAGATAATGTAACATGTTACATGAGATAATGTAACATGATTTCTAATCAATATAGCAAGTTCAGGGTTGTGAACCAATTGATTATGCCAACCAGCATCACCCCTTGGAAAAAATAGAGAACAAACCATAGGCTCTAATTTGGCAGACATACTTGATATAACTTTAAGAAGATGACCTCTTGGGAAAATAACAACTTCCCTGGAAGCAGGTGGAATACCATCTCCACCAACAAATACAACTGCAACTTCATTATGTGAAGGGAGATTATATTGACGTCTATCTTGCCTTTTTTTTTTCTCGCCATTTCGGTTCAAAGTATTTGCTGCTTGCTGAGCAGCATATCTAGCATTTAGTAGATTATTAATTTTATCTCACCTGAGCCTTTTTCATTTCTGCAACAACTAACTTGCCTAATAACATTTCCATTTTTTAAACTAATATCTGCTTCTAGTATCACTCATATAAACTTCACTTTTAATTGAAAGTATTAACAAAACAATTTTAAAGAGTCTTGAAAATTGTGATCTTTTTTATATAATTTTTTTTTATACTCTAAATAGCAGACAAATAATTTTTAAATATAAGAAACATTTAAAATAAATTATAAAATAATCTTATAACGTAAAAAAAAACAAAAAAAAAAAACATTTCAGCAAAAAGATGTTTAAACAAAAAATTAACTTCTAAATTTTTTATATAGATTTTAAAAAATTAATCTAAATAAATAAGCAAATAATTCTAATTCTAATAATAAAAATACTGCTAATATAGAAAAATTAAAAAAAAAAACAAAAAAACATTGTAAACCCTTTTTAGCAAACTTCAATTTTATTTCTTTTGAAAAAAATTATTAGTAAACATTAGAAAAAATTATTAGTAAACATTTTTGAAAAATTCACAAAACAGTATTTTGTTCTTCTATACCACATAAATACATCATTTGATAAATCTTAAATGAAAAAATTTAACAAATAAGTAAATAAATAAGAAAAACATTACATACAAAAAACGGAAATCATTGTACCTGATAGAGAAAAGCTGTTGTGATTTACCAGAGTAATAGTAGTAGGCTTTTAGTGAATATATATAATACAAAGTAGTAGGCTTTTAGTGAATGATTAAAAGCAGTGAGGTCTAATAATGAAATTACCTATTTATCATTTTTAACAATAGTCAACATGTGAAGGTAAGCCAAATGTATATCAATTCAAAAGATTACAAAAAAACAACAACATCACAACAACAATAGCATTCACCAAAAGTTAAATAACATGCATATAACATAACTTAAGAAACATAACATTCATATATTATATATGTTATATATTATATATTCATATATTATATATGTTATATATGTTATATATTATATAACAGAACATAAGAAACAACATTATGCAAAATGTTATTACATGACTTGGCTGGCAAGGTTGAAAAATCTTGCTCTACAGGTTTACCAAGTCACAACACTTTGAAAACACGGAAACAACATAATATAAAAATATGTACTAACTATAAACACAATATATATATATATATATATATATATATATATATATATATATATATATATATATATATATATATATATATATATATATATAAATATATATATATATATATATATATATATATATATATATATATATATATATATATATGTATATATATATATATATATATATACATATATATATATATATACATACATATATATATATATATATATATATATATATATATATATATATATATATATATATATATATTTAACTTTATATAAACATATTTAAATACATTCATAAAACAATTATATAACACATATTGACACTAGGGCTGTACCGGATTTAATTTTTTCAAATCCGGCCGGAGCCGGATTTGCCGGATTTCTACTGACAGATCCGGCCGGAATCGGAGCCGGAGCCGGGTTTCAAAAGAAAACTACAGGAGCCAAAATCCTGTACATCCCTACTTGGTGTTGAGCATGGTCAACAATGTGGACTATTTAGAATAACAAGTGACTGCTTTTTTCTGTTAAACTTCATTTTTGTTATTTAAAAAGTTTTATAGCAATTTCTATATATAAATTAATAGAAATTGTAAAGAAATTCTATAGGCCATATGTTTTAAAAGTTTATAGTAATTCTATTGAACTTTTTTTTCGGGATTTTGTCACTCCGCCACTGTAGTGGATCATTGTGTCTATTTATTTCTGGTTCTTTCGGATATTTCCTTAGCTGAGTTTCAATGCCTTTTAGTAATTGTTGTTTATGTGCCCTGCCACCAGCGGACGTAGACTGAATAATTTTATCAATAAATTGCCAGAGTAATGATGATGATGATGTAAAAAAATTATTAAGCCCGGCTTATTTTGATGGATTTTCTTCACTTTTGTCAATCTTCTGTTCAGCATGCTCAGATTGACTTCAATCTTGTTTTTTCAGCTCTCAGTGTTGCCTCTAATGAGGAGAATTTAGTTTTAAATTGTGAGACCAGCCTCGTCAGTATATAAAAAGGTTTCTCTTTTCAATGCTTTTAAAACGCTCATCCAATCACTTGATTAGGGTTGACATCATAGTCTTTATACCTGCATCATTGTAGAATATCGTGTGTCTTCGCTTCAGAATTTTTTGTTGCGTTGTTGTTTGAAATTAGACTAAGCTTGTTAAATTATAAAGAAATGTAAATACAAATACCAAAACAAATTGAAACCACGAAATTAAACTTTTTGACAGTTGTTTTCTTTAAAGGTACAAAGCCTAAAAAATGTTCTTTGATACTAAACTCCTTTTTCAATGAATCAACTTTAACAAAACGAATAATTATTGTCATTTGCTCAACATGGCTACAGTCAGGAGTACCATCGAGAACTATTGAAAAATATTTCATTGCATTTGCTGTTTGTATGATTTCTTTCTTAATAGCATTTCCTAACAGTTGAATAAGTTCATTTTGTATATCTTTGCCAAGATAGTGTGTATGAAGCTCTTTATTTGATATCTTTCGTAGATGTTCGTTCATTAATGGATCAAAAATGGCTAAGTATTGCACAAATTTTAAAAAATTCCCGTTATTGGCACTGTACAATGTTTCATTTGTACCGCAAAAAGCTAGATTCTGTTCACCCAAAACTCTCACTAATGCTATTAAAAGCTTTAGTATTTGCTGCCAATACTTTTCTTCATTCTTCATCTTGCGCAAAATTTCTGCATCTATTGTACTATCCCTCTGTAATCGCTGATATAGTTCTTTCCACTTTTGATTGTTCTGCAAATGTTCAGGAGTTTTCTCGTGGGAAGAAAGAATTGCCGCCATGTTTTTCCAGTCACTTGAACCTGTATGAGTTAGTGATGATATGCTAATTGATTTCATACTGAACAGTTTGCAACAGAAACAAAACACTGAGTCTTTTAATACTGAATACAAGAGCCAGCTGCGACATAATTCTTCTCCATTAGGAAGTTTTCTTAAGTAGTGAAATACTGAAAACTTTCGATTGTTCTTATCATTTGGGAAACTGATATCTTTTATTTGCTGAGGTCCACGTTCTACAATGATTGCACGTGTATTATGATTAATTAGTAGAGGCCAAAGTGCTGGATCCTGTGGAATAACATTATCCGTTTTTTCTTCACTTGCTTGCTGTACATGTTCCTCGAGAGAATTATTCAATTGGCCATTATCTGCATGGGAAACGGAAACTGTTGAGTAAGAAAGTGTTTCACTCATCATCACATTATCATTATCAACAACATTAGATATTTCTTCAGCTTCCATATCAGTGGGAATCTGTTCACCATTACTATCCTCTTTAGTAGAGTCTTGTCGGCATATAAACTTTAGCAATGAACCCTTCTGTTTTTCTTGTTCCCTCTGCTGTTCAACTTTTCGTTTACGATATTGAGCTCCTGAAGGCTTCTTTCTCTCAGCCATATCTGAAATGTAACAAGAAAATAATAAAATAAATGAATGTTGCGATGTTTAACTAATACATTAATAGGTCTTCTGTGATTGGCTTCAAGAATAAATTATATATAGCTAGCTATAGTTTCCAACAGGTCTGAACAGCTCTGTAAGGTTTTAACAGGTTATCATTAAACTGTATTATACAAAAAACAACTTGGCAAAGTTATACGTCCTGCTAGTATTTTTTGTGTTTTTTTAAACGGAAATGGAAGTTAGCTATATGAATGAGATTTCAATGTGTAATTAGCTGGTGCAGATCAAGACATATTGTAGAAGCGACTCAACAAAAAATTTAACCTGCAAGATGCATTGTGTTTAAATAATTCAAATTTTATTTTGTATAACAAAGTTATACGTATGGTGAAGTATAATAATAATATAATACGTAATATATAATAGCCCTAGATTTAAGCTAGTTATTATATATTCATATAAAAAATATTTTACTTTTCTTAATAAGTGTCTAAAACTTAATTTAAATGTATAATAGTATATAGAATGCCACTATTCATCTATATGTATATATATATATATATATATATAATATTGTCAGTATAAATTATATAAAGAATATAGTCGACTAACTATTGAAAGTTGTTATGAAAATCACTTTGATTGTAAAGACGCCGCCATATTTGTTATGATTTAGATTGCGTTCGGTAAAATGTACGTACATATTGCTCAATGAGCAAAAGCGTTGTTTTTTGTTAGCATATAAAAAAACTTATCAATTTTTAGGCGCCCCTAAACTTTGGCGCTCTAGGCGATTGCCTAGTTCGCCTATAGGATGCACCGGCCCTGCTCTTATCTGTATAAAAATCAGCAAAAAATGGAGACATGGCCTGGGTCAATTGAATTACCCTAAATTTGTATTTATGGAGACACGGAATTACTCTAAAACTGTATTTATATGGAAATTATATAATCTATCAAATATATTTTTACCAAGTATATCAAATATAACTTAAAATAAAGATTCACTTAACAAACAACACGAGAAACTAAAACTAGATTATATTTTATAACATTGTAATAATAATATTTTAAGTATTTTAAATAAATCTATTTTAAATAACTTTTATCATATCATTATATATATATATATATATATATATATATATATATATATATATATATATATATATATATATATATATATATATATATATATATATATATATAAATATATATATATATATATATATATATATACATATATAAATATAAATATATATATATATATATATATATATATATATATATATATATATATATATATATATATATATATATATATATATCTTTTCATCATTTATTGACAACATCAAAATGTAGATACGAAATAAAATGTCATTTGTTCTGTCGACAGGGCGGACAATGTATAATACTAAAGACCTTTGTCTTTAGTAATTTTTTTCAATTTAAGGCAATTTGGATGAAACCATTGATCCCAACGATCACAACTGACTATATGACCACCATTCTTTGTAGTTTTGCAAATGCAAAACACTCTTTCCTCTTGATCTAGTTGAAGAGTTTTATCTGTGAATTTATGTGATGTCGTTCATCAGTTTTATCTGTGATTTCTAACTTCTTTGTTATTAGTTCTGGTACGATCACATGCTTTAAAAACTTTTTACTATATACAATCATCTCATTAATAAAATCAAGATCCTGTTCAATTCGAAAAAATAAAAAATTAATTGGAGTCTAGAAAATAAAATCACAATAACACACTTCCAATATGAATATTTGAAGTTGTACCTGACTAAAGTATGGATGGGTTCTTTCTAATTTAAAGCTGCTATTGTATTTTTTTACATTAAAACTACAAGTCCAAATTTTTAACTTCAAAATCATTGTGAATCGTGATCACTGAAAGACAAAGTGATTCACTTATTTATAAGTCATCAGAGCAGACATTTACATACTCAGCCAAAGCAAATTCTCCTTTTTCTCTTCCCCATAATAATGAAGATGCATTGTTTTGGAAAAGGTTTTGTTTTGTAAGTTTTTTAACTAAAGATTTTGGTGAATTTTGAACACATGATTCAAAACATCATTAAAAACAGAGCCAGTTATTCGACCATATCTCTGCTCATGCCAAGAAATGGGCAATCACTGATTCCTAGTAATTTCTTCGAAGTATTCCTTTTGTTGAGCGGTAATTGATATTGTAATGGTAAATTATATTGTCGTCTTGATACGTTTCAAGTTTATTTTAAAAGTTTTTGAAAAAGTAAAAAAACTTTTTAGAATGTTGCAATACTACTATTATTGAAAGAAATAATTATGTAGCAAAAATAATAATAATAATAATAATAATAATAATAATAGCAATAATAGCAATAATAATAATAATAATAATAATAATAATAATAATAATAATAATAATAATAATAATAGCAATAATAATAGCAATAATAACAACAAAAATAATAACAACAACAATAATAACATTACAATAATATTCATTATGAATAAATTATGATATAAAATATAGTAATAATAACAACAACTATAGAAACATATCAGTTTATAATAATAAATTTAATAACTGATATTAAAATTAGTAATATATCACGATAGAAATGAGAAAAATTAAAAGATGAATAGAAGCACTGCGTTATAAATAATAAGTTGTAAAAAGGTAAAAGATTTATAAAGAGTATTTTTCTAAAAAATGGTTAAAGAGAGCAGTTTTAAATTTTGAGAATGATTTAAGAGATTTTAATTGGGAAAGGAGATTGTTCCAGGTTTGTATGCTTTTATGTTGTATGGATTCGTAGCCGTAATGAACAGTTTGGTATTTAGGTACAGATAATTTAAAGCTGAGAGCAGATCGTAGAATATATTTACAGTTTTCCCTATAACTAAAAAAGTTGATAAATGTAAGAGGTAAGTTATTATGATTTTAGTTCCAAACAAATAGACAATTTGATAGCTGAATAAGGTCACACAATTTAAGGACTTTAGATAAAAAATAGAGTATGCTACAGTTCGAATTAGTATGTTGAAAGTAAATTAATTTTAGAGCTTTGTTTTGGAGATAAGTTAGTCTTAAAAAAGCAAGCTGCTTAGATTGTCCCCAAACTTAGCAAGCATATCTGAGATGAGAGTGAAAAATAGCATGATATAAATTAAGCAAAGTTTCATGGTTAACAAAATGACGAATTTTAGCTAAAATACCATTCGATCTGCTTAATTTCAATGCTAAGTCTTGAAGATGCGATGCAAAAGATAAATTAGAGTCTATTTTGATTCCAAGATATTTAATTGAGTTAACTGGATTTATTTTTTGGCCACTTAATCTGAAATTTAGTTGCTTATTCATTTCTGTTTTAGCAGATTTAAATATAATAATTTCCGTTTTTTTAGAGTTAAGAGATAATTTATTGGAGCGGAGCCATTGAACAACATTAGCTAGATCGTGATTCATATTTTTGTTAAGTTTTTTAAGTGATTTATTAATTAGGAGTAAGTTGGTGTCATCCGCGAAGTGATAAGCAGTAGAAAATTTAAGAGAAACATTTAAATCATTGATAAAAATAAGAAAAAGTAATTGACCTAAAACCGAGCCTTGCGGAACACCATTAAAAGATTTAACTAGTCCTGAGTTGATACCATTAATTGAAACAAATTGTGTTCTATTACAAAGATAAGAGGAAAACCAGAGAAAAGGAATACCTCTTATACCGTAGTGTTTCAATTTTTCTAAGAGGATTGTGTGCTCAACTGTATCAAATGCTTTTCTTATGTCAATAAACACTCCACACGCAAAGTGTTTGTTATCGATTGCTTGTCTAATTTTCTCTGTTATTTCTATTAATGAATGAGCTGTTAAGGGTTTGTTGCGAAAACCATACTGGTGTTTGTAAATAAATTTATGTTTTTCCAAAAAATGCTCGAGTCTTTGGAACATTGCTTTTTCAAATCGTTTACTTAAGTTAGAAAGAAGTGAAATAGGTCGATAATTGGAGTAGTCTAGATAAGAACCCATTTTGTGTATAGGAATTACTTTGGCTACCTTAAAAGCTTCTGGAAAAATACCATTTTTGAAAGAATTATTCATCAAAGTACATAGAGGTTTGAAGATTATGTGAGATACCAGCTTTAGTAAAAATGTTGGCAGACTATTGAGACCAAGGCTTTTATTATTTTTAAGAGTATCTTTTATGAGATTCGCCACCTCATTTTCAGTCACGGGCTCAATGAAAAAAGAATTAATACTAGGTATTTTAAGAAAGTTGCCAAAAGCACATTTAGAGGGAACAGTATTTTTAAGTAGTTTGTCTTGAATAGTTGTAAAATAATTATTAAATATATTAGCAACACTGGTATGATCTGAGATGACATTTTCATTGATTTTGAGGTTAATAGACTTAGTAGAAGTAGATGGTTTAATATTTATGATTTCCTTAATTCCTTTCCAGGTATTCTTTACATTATTGATGTTGTTATTGAAAAAAGATGCGTAGTACAATTTTATAGAATACCTTAACAAATTACTAATTTTATTTCTGTATAACTTAAATTTAGTAAATAATATACTTTTTGTATTCACATTTTTTGATCTAGTAAATTTTTTATAGAGTATGTTTTTATTAGAAATTGATTTAAGAATACCAGAAGTTATCCAGGGTTTAGATTGAAGTTTAATTTGTTTTTTTGTTAGTTCTTTGTAAGGAGCATATCGGTCTAATATTTTTTCGAATGTTTTAAGAAAAAAAATTATAGATTCGTTTATGGTATTATCGTCTTTTATGAGAAGCTCCCAGTTACCCAGCAAGGACAAGACGTATTCAATACGTATTATTTTTATATTATTCACATCTTTTCTAGAGTAGACGATAAAAATACGCATAAAAAACGAATTTTCAAGATGAGTTTTAGCTGAATATAAAACTTATCTTTAAGAGACGTATTAAATACGTATTATTTCTATATATGAAAGATATCTTTCGCAA